CGACAGCAACTCAGCCACGAAGTGGTAGGCCACGTAAACTGACGGAGCGGGGTCAGCGGATGCTGAAGCGCATAGTGCGAAGAGGTCGCCAACTTTCTGCAGAGTCAATCACTACAGACCTCCAAACTTCATGTGGCCTTCAGATTAGCTCAAGAACAGTGCGCAGAGAGCTTCATGGAATGGGTTTCCATGGTCGAGCAGCTGCATCCAAGCCATACATCACCAAGTGCAATGCAAAGCGTCGGATGCGGTGGTGTAAAGCACGCCGCCACTGGACTCTAGAGCAGTGGAGACGCGTTCTCTGGAGTGACGAATCGCGCTTCTCCATCTGGCAATCTGATGGACGGGTCTGGGTTTGGCGGTTGCCAGGAGAACGGTACTTGTCTGACTGCATTGTGCCAAGTGTAAAGTTTGGTGGAGGGGGGATTATGGTGTGGGGTTGTTTTTCAGGAGCTGGGCTTGGCCCCTTAGTTCCAGTGAAAGGAACTCTGAATGCTTCAGCATACCAAGACATTTTGGACAATTCCATGCTCCCAACTTTGTGGGAACAGTTTGGAGCTGGCCCCTTCCTCTTCCAACATGACTGTGCACCAGTGCACAAAGCAAGGTCCATAAAGACATGGATGACAGAGTCTGGTGTGGATGAACTTGACTGGCCTGCACAGAGTCCTGACCTCAACCCGATAGAACACCTTTGGGATGAATTAGAGCGGAGACTGAGAGCCAGGCCTTCTCGTCCAACATCAGTGTGCGACCTCACAAATGCGCTTCTGGAAGAATGGTCAAAAATTCCCATAAACACACTCCTAAACCTTGTGGACAGCCTTCCCAGAAGAGTTGAAGCTGTTCTAGCTGCAAAGGGTGGACCGACGTCATATTGAACCCTATGGATTAGGAACGGGATGTCACTTAAGCTCATATGTGAGTCAAGGCAGGTGAGCAAATACTTTTGGCAATATAGTGTATATATATATATATATATATATATATATATATATATATATATATATATATATATATATATATATATATATATATATATATATATATATTTTTTTTTTTTTTTTTTTTTTTTTTTTTTAGATAATTGGATATAAAATACAAAATCAGCCCTGTATTATTTGTTTGTGTACTTATCCAGACAAGGTGACAGGATCTATAAAAAAAATTACATTTAAATATGATCAAACTGTATCATACACAAATAGATATAGAAATACTCTGTGTTTGGCTTGGGCAGGGATATATCTGGTATGTACAAGTTAAGGATTAACACCACATGTTCAATGTTTTCCCAATGATTTTAAAACTCAGTGCACTTGATGCAGTCCATGATCCTCATGCAGGACTACATGGCTTGTGCTTTGGGCTAAAATGTGATCCAGCAGTCCAGGGTTCTACCAATCATCTCAATGCAAAGTTCACGCAGAAGACATCGCCTTAATACCCTTGTGGTATGCAGTGTGCTATGCGCATGTGATTGAGGAATGGCATAAATATACTCAAGTTCTCTAGCATGAAGTCTGTCTGCTGCAGCAGCAGCTTCAAATTACTACTTTAAAAATAGGGATTTTTATGTCAATTTATGTCATTCAAAATAAAAGGAACTCGGATTCAAATTATCATTCTGGTTTGCATGTCAATGTAAATTAATATATAAAATCACAAATTAGATAAAAAAAAAATCCTTTCTAAAAAACTGGTCTTGATACTAAATAACTACTGCATTGTGGCGTGACCATCAGTCTGAAAGTTCAGTCATGCATTAAGTTTGATTAGAAGCTGTGTTCTCAGAATAAACAACCAGATTATATAAGGCAAACAGCCAAACTATCCAGTCTGCTGCCCTCTTTTTAAAAGAGACAAAAAGCAACCCCACCGCCTCTCTGTATCCCCTCTTTTCTTTTTCTAATCTCTTTCTGATGCTCTTATTAGGCTATGACCTAGACAACTAGTGCATCGGGCGTTTTGAAAGGCTGACCTCTGTTCTCGAGCTTGTAATTAGCGAATAACTTCACAACAGTCCCAGCATTCAATGCATGTCCTTATGGAAGATGTGGGAGTTTATTCAAGGCCCACCAACCTCTTTGCTACCAAAGACACAACGAATCAATCGAAACAATAAATTCTCTCAGCACATTTAAATCCATATCCAAATCATTGAACAGCTCAGCCCCACAGAGGGCTGCTGCTCGGGTCACAGTTGGAAAAACAAGGAAGCAGAACCAAAGGGTTCACTGTCGGTGTCCATTTGTAGTGAAATGGCTGAGCCAGCTTTGAACTTTGCAGATATTCTCAGCATGAGGCTGAGGAGACACTCTGAAGAGAAACCGGGGATTGCGATTTGTGTGACATAACAGTAGTTGTGGAAAATGAAAAGTAACACCTACATAAAAGTCTCTGATAAACAGAATAAACTGCTGTGCTGAATTTGTTTTTATGCTTCTCGGGCAAAAAAAAAGACCTTTTGCATTAACAAATGGTTTCATGGAGCCAAAAAAACTCAGCCCACTTCAAAATGAGGTCTTTAAAGTAACATAAGACACAATTCATGTTGATAACATGTCTAGAAACTATTTGCTGCGTTCTTGATCAAAACAATGACTTCATCTGCCTTGTATTAAATTGAGACAAAGAAAACATCTCAACATGAGGATTTCCAATCATAAATAAAGTAATGGTTTAATGTGTTGGGTTAAAAAATACAAAATCAGCCCTTTTTAATTGAGTCTGGCCTCTTAAAGTCTCTAAAAGTTTTTTGGTGTACAGTTCTCCCCAAAAAAAGCAGAAGCCAGAGCCCACCTTCTCTTCATGTTTGAGGTTGAACACTGCCGGAGGAAAACCATGAAGCCTCTGATATCTGTGGTCGGGTTTGGACGTCAGACTAAACTACATCGCCATGATATTCACTGTAAGCTGTGTGGCCCCTGGAAATACAGCTCAAGACAGTTTAGCTACACCCCTGTGTAAAAAATGCACATGCACACACACACACACACATATACATTGCACATGCAAATGCTGGTGTGTAGGCAAATACAGGAACCCTACCAGGATCTGCAGGAGAACTCCAACCAGCTCATTTGCTTACAGCTGACATAGCAAGTCGTCAAACTGTAGGCTCTCAGGAATAATGACTTGCTGTGAGAATCAAGCTTTACTGTCTTAATAAATGCAAGACAAATTATATTGATTCTGCATAGAAGTAGAGCGTAAGTAGTGCAGTTTCTCCCATGCATACTTTAAAATGCCTGTTTGCTTTAGGGTAGTCAAAATAAACAATATTATAATTAAATCAACAGTAAAAAATATATGCTTTGTGTTTTTTTTTAAAGATCCTGATTTGGGCCAAATCAATACAAACTGGGTCACTAACATTTTTTCCACTTGGCTTGCAGCATTCATACAGTAGTGCTGCAGACACACACTGATACTTAGCCCCTCCCCTGCCCACAGTGGTTCACCAGAACGGCCAGGGCAGAGAAGGAAAACAGTGAGCTGCTGCTGAAAGTTTAAAACTCTGGTGACATGGAAAGTATGTCCAGAGAAGAATAAAAAAACGGAAAAGGCAAAACCACAAGCATTATTCGAACGGATGCAGATAAGCCCTGAAACACGATGAGCAGAGTCTGACCGCTCTGATGTTTGAGGGGGATATAAAATGGTGAATAAAGCTTTTTTTTATCTGCAACAGTGAAGAAGTAAACATGCAGGAGAGATTAAGCTAACATCGTCTATTAAAATATTAGCAGCTTACAGACGGTTAGTAGATGGCTAAATATGGGTACGAAACGGCAAAGCAGTGAAATGAGTGCAGCCTTTTTCTCCTCTGTTCATGATAAAAGACTTAGAGGGAAGTGGGCCAATTAACAAAACACGCAACACAGCCAATTAGGCTATTGAACTATTAGAAGCAGCCTTCCTCCTTTTATTTATTTTACCTGTGCATACTACCATTATCCTGTTTTTTAACTTATTGTCTTTAGCCCCTTTAACGACGCTTGTTACACAGTTCTGCTACATCATTGCAGTAAAAATTAATAATCTGTACTTTAACTGTATAGACTAATTATAGTATAGAATCATCACTGAGGATATTTACTCACGCATCCATTAACTTTGAAGCTACATCTGAACGCCTTCAGTAAACACCAAGGATCATTTTGTATTCCCAGCCCTGCTCGAGTCTTTTCCCTTTTGAAATCTTTTTTTTTTGTGCTTATTTACACACTGGATGTCTGACTTTTCTTCATTGTTTCCACACTTCACTATGATATGTGAACTGGCTTAGCCGTAGTAGGCACATATACAGTATCATTCCTCCGTTTTTATTGTAAATATACACAAAGGTCTTTATTTACTGACAAATTGAGCAAAAACAAAGAGTGAAACAACAATGTAACAAATAAAATTCCAACAGGACACGCTAATCTTTCAGAAAACAACTTTGTATCCGACTAGAATGAGTTACTGGAAAATAAATATTTTTGAAATGTCAAATAATGTAACTATGCAACCAAAAGGCTGCTACATACGACCCAAAGATTGAGACCTTTTTTCGCGCTCCTGCAGCGAATGACATCATTTTTTTCTCTCAGTCCTGTCTTGGGAGGTTGTTGTCAACACAACCTCTAAGCAAACCTTTTTCTCCCAGGTGTCAGACTGCTGTACTGGAGTTGGACTGGATTTAGATGGGTATTTCCAATTAGCCTCAGAGCACACACAAGCTGTTCTTCCTGTCTGCTCCTCTACTTTCAGCTCTCCGCCTGTCCGCCTGTTCTATGCTCCGACCAGCTCTGTTTCCCCTTACCCTCCCCTTTTCTGATACATCTTCAGTGACGCGTTAGCTTCTTCTTGAAAGTGAATAATTGAAGGCCAAAGGGTTTTTGTTTTTGCCTCCTTGAGAAAAAAAAAGTATCTCTGTTCTTGTGGAGTTTGTAGCAGCCTTCCGACCTCAGACTTCCTCAGACACTGCAGTACTTTCCCCTCTTTCTACATACCGTGAGGTTCCAGTTGACCTGGGGAACCTTGATGTGGAGGTTAAGGCAGAAGATCAGGAGAAGAACTCCTGTCACCACGAAGGCACTGCAGCTGACAAACTCGAAGAAGTAGACACCTCCACAGGGAGAACACATCATGATGGTCTCTATGCAGATGAAGCCGATGAGAGCCAGGACCTGCAGACAATCAACAGAAAGACAAACTTAGAAGCACATTATTTTGACGTTATGCTTTTTATAAGTATGATGGTCACAGTTGGATGTGAATGCAGTGGAATCCCAAGCTGCCATGTCCTATAAAAAGACTAAAATGGCCATAAGCTTGTCTGCTGTGAGCTTGATGCCTGACTGCAGCCAGATCCCATCAACAAACCACAAAATGGAAAAGCAGTTCTGCTCTGCAGGAGTTTCTAAGCTTTCTAGAGTCCCAAAAAAGACACATAACTTAAAGATTGGCTTAAAAAAAAACAAGAGACATAACAGAAGCTTATAAAAGAACAATCAAGCAACCAGTGAGGGGCAGAACCAAGAAATCCTACATAATATATGTTAGTGTCACAAGGTGGGATTAAATAAACATTTTAAATGTAATCCAAGCACAGAAATAATAGAGTGAAAATATGAAAATTTCACTTCTCAGAAAGAAGTGAAACAAAACGCACACGTATGTTGAAGGTGTTCTGGGGAAAAAGGGAGAACAGTTCCTTTAAATGACCCTCACTTATTTACAAGTTTTAATAACCATTATGCATTTGGCCTGATTTGCCAAAAAGGAGAACGTTTTCCCCAGCTCTGCACATAGATTTATGTTTTGATTCTAGTTGCAAAAAAAAAAAAACGCTGCTGTCCTTTTTATCATAAAAGTAAAAATGGGAAAACCTGTAAAGGACATGGCATCATATGTTCCTTCAAACTGAACCTAAAAAACAAAGACCTATGGTCTTAACTTCAGCTTCTAAATGTTTTGGTCTTGTCTCTGCACTCATTGGTCTCGGTTGGTGTGGTCTTGACAACAACACTATAGAACAAGTGCATTGGGGAAATGTACAGATAAGACAATCAGAATGTGGACTGATTCTCTTTTTCTATTCTCAACCTTTGATTTAAAAAAATTTTAAAAAGCACATTTATATCCAAAACACTGATATTCTGTGGATTTTGGGACACGTCAGAGGTAAAAACATTATACCGGTATTAAACAACTGTTTAAAGTTGTGTTTTTCAAACTTGTTTCAATTTAACCCTATAATGCCAAATGTATCGTATTTGATACGTATGGTTTCTGAAATGTTTTGCATCTGACACCTTTTGCATAATTTAATGGTAAAAACTTTGCTCAAAATCCTATTGTACACAATCAGATATACCTGATAACAGCCAGTAAAAGACTACACAAAAAATAATCTTGACTTATCGCATAGTAATAAATTATTAATATCAAAAATGTATTTCTGTTTTTTCTTTACATATTTTGTTAGAAGGGCAAATAAGGAATTCAAACCAAAAAAAAGGTTATTTTCTGTTTTGTTTTATTCTTGGGTCAGGCTTTAAAGGGTTAAGGTTGTTCCAATGGAAAAAAGGTAAATATGCTCTATAATTACATATAAATGAACAACAAAGCAACTCAGCTTTGATCAATCTAATTGCATGACATTTTGAACTGAAGTTTATTGAATGAGTCCAATGAGCTTAAAAACTCAGTATATACCTTTAATTCAGCTCTGTTAAAGAATCATAAAATCCCAAACCAAACTCTGTGACATCAGCCAGCAAAGGTTCGGGAATAAATGACAGATTTTCTGTGTTGACTGTTTCTGCAGCTTTCTGGCAGTATGGCGCCCAATAAATTCTCCAAACAATAAATTCAAGATAATAAATAAAGATCCTTTAGCCGTGGTTCTTAAGTGGCAACATAACCTCTCTACAGTTTCCAGTATCACATTCATGCCGCCAAGAATGTCCTTAAAGTTCAATTGTTTGCATTATTTTTAGAACCAATGGCTTAAAAAATTAAAAGCGATAGATTAAAGGTGTTGATTTATTGTATGTCTCGTACCATGTGTTTTGGTTGTGCTGTTCTTTTTTCATCTCGTTACAGGTGATGAAGCAGACTGAAAATGTTTTGTCATTGTCTCCTTTCTCTTCTTTCTTTCATCTTTTCTCTTTCTTTTTTCCTTTTCTTCTTCTGTTTTTCTGCTCTATTTACATTGCAGTGTCCATATAAACTGTAAAACTCCCTGTGTAGTTATAATAAAGCAATTTCTATGCATGAAACAAGTCGAGCTATATGGCAATTGCCATACTGCTACACTTGTGAAAGTAAAATCTGTTGGGCTCCTTTTGGCATCAAGACAATTATTCTTATTGCCACATTGCCAAACAGGACACTGTTTAAAAAAATAAATAAATAAAATAAAATAAATTAAAAGCATGTCAGATCCTTTAAGTTTTAAAATATTATTCATCAAATTTCATTATATGGGGTTGACATAATTATTTATTGATAAAGAACCAACCTCTATTCCTCATATACTTCAGATTTTTAGAGAATTTGGTCTCTTTGGTTGGGAACTTATTTATCCCTGAATGTAATTGTTGCTTGAAAAAAATATTCAGAAATCACAAAATATATTATCACTGATTTAGCAGGACAGAAAGGATCGGACCATGTATTTCACTTATACTTAGTACACAAATCCTCAGGTAGACTTCATAATCTTAAATATCATTACAGGTCTTATATTTTGCATTCACTTTCTACATGTTTTTTTCCAATTAAATAAAACTTCACTGCAATGCATGAAGGAGAATATAGTGCATCCACATATACTCCACAACACACACATCTCATTTTAGGAGATGTTCAATGATTCTGGTCTCGCTTTCTTTTAAAGATTGATTCTTTTACCTGTCAGCTTCATAATTTTACCAATACCGGTACCTTTTTTATAATATATAATAATAATTTCATTAAATATAGAAAAATTTATCAAACTGAAACATTTAAAAAGGAAATTACCAATAGTAGGAATAACTACACCCAAAAAGATAATGGCTCTTTGTTGACCATCTGCAAATAACCTCATATTTATCCATTGCCTCAGTACCTTTCTCTTTATCGGGCCTGCTATAGTAAAGCAGGGAGGCATAGAAGGCACTATGTATTGCATGGCAGCACCAGTTATTCACTCTAAACTGGACTCTTTATATCTTTATATGTTGTTCAACAGACGTTAATGCAGCCTGAACTAAAAGGTCCCCCACCCGACACACACACACTAAAGATATCAGGCTCAATCTCCAGCTGGGTGCTTTTACTTCTATTGTATTTTGAGTTACCATGGCAATGTAAGTCACCAAAAACAGAAATCTCATTAAAACGCAGGGGTAAAAGGAAAGGAATTAATCATAGAAATCCACTACTTTGAAGACTGTTTGGTCATACTTTAACCTACAGATAAATTAGGTTAAAGGTTAGAAAAGTATATGTACATTTATAACAGCAACAGTTACTCCAAAATTATCTTTCAAGCAACAAAGTTTAAAAAGTAAGGTTAGAGTGCGGCGGGATGTTGGTCTCAGTGTGAAGGAGAGATTTTGACCACAATTCAATCCTTATTCTATCCATTTTTGATCAGTTTGTAGGTCAAACTCTCTGCTTCCTCATAACCTCTAGAACATGGACTTTAGATGAAGGTAAGATTTGGGCAGGAATGCAGGTGTGGCCTATTTTATCTCTTCCTCGCTATTTTTATGAATGACCTACAGATATGAACATGAAGCTTAAAAGAAAAATGCAATTTGAAAGATTCTTATCAGCACCTACTGACGCCCCATGTCAAGCTTCAGCCAATCACTGTTGGGACCGCACCTCCTTCGAAGCCAATCATCCTTCAAGATCCCCTTCATTTAGCTCCTGGCCTAGCTTCTCTCTCCTTCACGCCAGCAAACTTTCACCCACCTCCGCCCCATCTCTTCCCTCACTCTCGGGCTGTTGTTGGTCCCACTCATCTTCTGGCTTATTCCAGTTCTAGCGTCTGAGCCCCAGGGGGATGACTACTCTAATCCTTTTCCTAGGTTACTCATCCAAGGGATGATCGAGTCTTCTGCCGGGGCCTGAGCGCCAAAGAACGTATTTCCTTCATGTAAATAAAACTTTCTCTGTGTGAGTCTCTCCAGGTGGATATGGCATTGATTGACTGTTACAGCTCTCAGTGAAATAATTTGTTTAAATACCATTTATAGCGTCCATGCAGCGCTCATTTGTTCAGAACCTTTATATAGCCTAAAATCTAAACAAATAAAAATTTAATAAATAAAATAGAGACACAGGTCACATAATTTTAAAAGAGCTTATATTCATTATTTTAATTTCAGAAGTCTGTTTCTGAAATACATTTTTAAAAACTAACCTATTGAACATACAAAATTCTTTTTAGCATGACATAGTTTGTATGGAAAACCGTACAAAATGCAGCACATCGCTTTGACAAGAAAGGAAGAGAGACCAGCTGATTTCCTTCAAGCTAATTTAATCCCATGACAGCCAAACAACAGACCCCGACCATTTTCTCCTTTTCTTAAACCTGGCCTTAGCCTTAGCCCTGAACAAAGATATCTGCCTTGTTGGAGACTCCTGTACATTACTGATATCTTCCCCTCATAATAAGCACCAGAGACAACATGTCTATCAGTGACATAGATAAAGTACAACTAAGGCCCTCAGCCAACACTGGATAGAGTAAAGTTTTTTTCAGGACATCTATTGGTGCCTGAAGCTGTGTGCAGAGTTGGACGGGGACCCATCTGTGACTGAAACATAAGCGCAAAAAAAAAAGAAAGTGGAGGGCTGCTTTGGCTGAAAGATGATGTCATGTCTCAAGAGGAAAGTATATTGCTTCCACAAGGTCTCTTTGTAGCAGGTGTCCAGGAGGCAAACTATAATATATCTGTGAATATTAATGTAATGTATTTCATCTCAACCCTCCCAGATATGCCCTTTGTTTTTAATCATCTGTATAAATTCAGGATCATTCAGGATTTACCAGCTCTGTTCTTCTTTCCTCCTCTACTTGAAGGCATGCAGTAAGCTTTAGGATTAAACACACTAGATGTGCATTGGATGCTGATCCTCTTCTTACACACCATCTGTTGTGCACAGCTCTAACTCTGCAAGC